ACCTAATTTATACAGTTCGGAAGGGACATCGTCAAATCCCGGCGCTTTGTTGTTTCTTTGCGCCTGTATTGCTTGTTTGACTTCTTTAAGAGTCGGGCTGCTTATTTCTTCGTCTCCTTCCTCGATGTGCCGCGTATCCGAAGATCGTGAGCTTCCTTGTGCTCCTAGCAGAGCTTGGAAATGGCTTTTCCAAACTGATTTTATTTGCGTTGGTTCACTAATTATCTTATCTGTTTGGTTTCTGCACAGACTTGTTCGGGGTTTGTATCCTTCTCTTAGTTGTCGAAGATATTTATATGCCTCCCTTAGATCGTTGCTTTGGAGGTTTTGTTCCATTTTCTGTATCTTATTATTTTCCCATTTTCTTTTTTCTCCTCGACATATTTTATCCGCCCTGCGTCGTAGCTCCTCGAAAAATGTTCTTCTTTCTCTGGTTCGCCTTTCCATATATTTCTTGTGAGCTTCATTTCGTTCGTGTATGGCCCGTCTACACTCTTCGTTGAACCATTCTGCCCTTTGCTTCTTTACCTTTTTACCGATGGTCTTTGTTGCTGCATTTAATACTTTTGTCTTCATTTGTTTCCAATGTTCTTCAATGTCTAGGTTATCTGTGTTTGTAAGTGTCTGGGTTATTTCTGTCTCGTAGCTCAGTTTAACGTTTTGTTGGCTTAGTTTATCAATGTCCAACTGCTCTTTTATCTGTTCTTTCTTATCTCTGTTTCTTGAGATCCTGCATCTATATTTTGCTTGTACCAGCAAGTGATCAGATCCACAGCATGCTCCTCTTCGACTTTTTACATCTAGGATGTTGGTGGCAGCTCTTTTGTCTATTAAGACATGGTCAATTTGGTTAGTAACCGCTCCACCTGGCATGATCCACGTTGCTTTGTGTACATCCCGATGAGCAAAGAACGTAGAGCTCACGATCATGTTTTTCCTGCTGGCAAAATTAATTAGGAATTCCCCGTTCTCGTTGGTGTTTTGATGGAGTGAGTGTTTGCCGATTATTCCTGCGAACTGTTCTTCTTTGCCTATTTGGGCGTTCATGTCACCCAATATTATCTTGATGTCATTTTTTGGGGCATTGTCGTATATTTCTTCTAATTGATCGTAGAACTCCTCTTTTATTGTTATGTTCGTGTTCTTCTGTTGGACTATGGGCATTAATGATTGTGAGGTTAAAAATTTGTTTTTAGCCTCAATCTACATAATCTCTCATTTATTGCTTCGAAATCTAAGATATTGTTTTTGATGTTCTTATCTACTACGAAAGCCACTCCAAATTCTTTCTTTCCATTTTCTTTGCCGCTATAGAGTATTGTGTGCGTTTTTGTGTCTTTTATTTCCATTGCCTAGCCATTTTGTTTCTTGTATTGCGGCTAATTGTATCTTATATTTTTTAAGTTCGTTAAGCAGCGATGTTTGGGCTCCTGGTTTATTTAGGGTTAAGACGTTCCATGTTCCAAATGAGTAGTCCATATTTCTTTGCTTGAGTCGTCGTCGATAAGACCGTCCTATCCGAGGCTTTTGTATAGGTTTCGTAGTCAGGGTTTGTTCTACAGTAATGGGTGACTAGCCCATTGCCCAACCTTGCTCCTTTAATCCGGCTTAGGACCGCTGTGACACTGTGATTTCCCACGGTATCCCAGCGCGAGTTAACTTAATGTTTTAGAAAACTACTATAATGAGGTAATTAGTCTGCCATTTCAGTTCTCGTTATAGAGGGAGTCTACTGTACTAACCAAGGGCCTCTATGGCCTGTAGTGCTGTTATATACCATTACTACTACTGATATAAAAGCACTTGTAAAATCATTTATTTCATTTAATAATCATTGATTAATTGTTATTTCCAAGTAGATAATGTTTTCATGCCTGGGCTCTATCAAATAAATACTTTCAAACTTTGTTCATTAGGTGATCACATTTTATTTATTTATTAATTCATTTATTTTCAATGGGCTGCTGCCCAATAAGATTATCAATGTTTACAATGTATACAATAAAACAAAAAGAATATAAGTTTAAATATCACAATAAAAAAAGTATAAATATCACAAACTTAATCAAGTAATTTAGTTTTACACATCAAAATGATTGCCTATTCCACAGCCACTTAAATAAACACATGCCTGAGACCAGAAATGAATTCTGCCTTCGGTGCGAAAAATCTAGATCTGGGTGAATTATAACGAATTTAATTTTAGGCCCTTCACCAGTTGTAGGAAAAAACGCAATTTTACAGACTTGTACTAGAATATGTGTAATAAAATGTTTAAATTCTCAGCATATTGAAACATTTAATCAAGAAAGGATAGTATACATTAGGTACAGGGAAATTCAATGTCACAGTCACAGAAGAGGATGATTACATGTTTTTCAAATTTTAATTTTTGTCTATATTTTTATTTACATTACTTATCATTTCTTTTTTAAATCTATTTTTTTTCCTGGAAGCCATCTGTTCTAAACTGGTCATAAAGATGTCAATCAGCTTATTGTACATTAATACCCTAATTGATTAGGATGATTATGTTATTGCTTGTCAAATTTAATGTGATACTTAACTAATTTGAAATTAGGCTCCACCCACGATGCGCATTCGACCACAACATAATTCATCCTTATTATTTCTTTTCCCTTCGAAGTGCAAGGTACTTGTATAGTCTGTGATAAAGTTTTTTTATTTTACTTATGTTTAAAGTTACTGTGTGTTGAAGAAATATCGTTTTACAATAGATTTGACTTTTTAAGTCATAATTCAAGATCAAAACAATGAATCAAACAAGATCAAAATTGCCATGTTAACAGCCAACGTTCGCAACGGACAGGGCACTTGAAGAAGAGAAGAAATCATAATTGTTAAGCATTTTAAATTATAAACATGGATTTTCATTCAAAATTAGAAGGCAAAGTCTTGTCTGGATAAACGAGGGAGGTAATAATAAATGTAATTATTTTTATACAGAGAAAAGCGATGCAAAATGCACATGTTAAAGATTTTAAAGAAGTTCAAGAGCATGCTTCCTTATCAACGGGAGTAAGTATAGCCGCTATAAAACGGATCACTCGTGAAATGAAAAATATAGAAGGTGCTTCTACATCATTTTCGATGCCTAACAAAAGAATGAGATCTGCCCCAAAATCCAACTTGGGCGATTTTGACAAAGGTTTACTTCAGCATATAATAATAAATTATTATGTCACGGAAAAAACGAGTTCTTACATTGCAATATATAACAAAAAAAATTAATGAAGACAATATTTATACAGGGTCGCATGAAACTTTAGTGAAAGAAAGCGAAGAATAACAGGAAAATCCTAATAGAAAAACCCGATATACAAGTGCTCCGGAGGAAGTTTCTCAGAAATATGAAACAATATAGGGAAGAAAATCGGCCCATAATTTACATGGATGAAACTTATATTCATTCCTATCATACACATGACATACTGGAGAGACAATACCACCGAAGCTTTGAACAAGCCAGTGCCCAAAGGGCAAAGGCAGATTATTGTTCACACCATTGGCCAAATTGAGGGGGGGGCATAAAAAACGCATGTTTGACATTTAAATCTGGTACGAAGTCTGGAGATTATCATAGCGAAATGAACTATAATAATTATAAAAAATGGATTCATGAAAAACTTATTCCTAATATACCAGCCTGTAGTATATTGGTTATAGACAATGCATCATACCACAATGTCCAAGTGCAAAAAAGTCCAACTATGGGAAAAATAACATACAATATAGACATATCATAGAAGTTCCATTAATAAATAAGGTCACTCTCTGTAAACTTGTAATATAAAGTGTACCAACAAGGCGAAGAGACTGAACTCATTATGTATCTCTTTTCCTCCCAATGTGTTCTTACTTAATTTTCTATGCAAGTGGACAAATTTGTCAAGTATCACCTTAAATTTGACAAGCTGTAACTCAGAAGCCATGAATCAGATATTTTTATCATCTAGTATTACCAAGTTATTATAATGTAGTTTACTTATGGTCTTTAGATTTGAGTTCCATACAATTACTTATTGGTTAATTTTTTTTATTGTAGATGTATTGAACTCATTGTTTAGGGACACAATATAACTACTTTTAATTATTTCATTTTTTTTGGAATTTCTATACTCTTTAGATACATTTGAACAAATCAATGCATACATTATATGCACATTATCACTTACATTCTCCTGTTTGAATAATTTGCATAGCAACTGTAGAAGGTGATAGATTGTATGGTCCAAACCAGTACAGGCATTTGGTTGTTAGTTAGATATGTACTCATTTTTTTTTAATTATGGGTACAACAGGTATATTATATTTTCTTAATCCCAATTGGAGCTTAGGAAGTGTTCTTCCAAGATTTTTATTTGATTTCTGTGGTGATTTTTTTAATTACATAGAGATTATAAGAAGTAGGTTGATTCATAGTCAAAGAAGTTCTATTATGTCAAAGTTAAATGGTTTGAAACAATGTGTTAAACACTATGAAAATTCTCATGAAGTAACATGTTATTGCAGAGAATAAAAAAATGAATAATTTAGATTTCAATAGGGTTAATTAAATTTTGGGCGTTTCCAATTCTTTTCTTTTAAAAAGGTAAATAAACTTACTGGCTCCCCTTTACTTGAATTTAGAACTATTTATAGATATTTGTCCCTTTTCTTAAAATAGAACAGGGCTGTTAATACAGTAACTTTTTCACTCAATCGAGATCAAAATTTTTGTAAACATAAAGGTGACTGTGTGTAATAATAATTAGAAGCAGTGACTCATGAAACAATCATTGAATGATTTAAATAATTACTAAAAATTTCAAAATAAAAAATTGTTTTTTTTTAATTTACCATAAAAGGCATACTATGATAAAATATTAAGTAAAGAAGATTAAAATGAGAACAGTAGAATAATAGTTGTCATTACAATATTTTTAAATATGTACACGCCCAGAGATACCCTACCAATGCTTGCTGCAAATTCAGATTACCTGTAATTATTTTATCAGAAGCGTCTGTTGGGATTTGATTTGTTTACACAAAATTCCGGTAATAAGTAAACATCAGTATCAGTTTCTTATCAATTTCGCTATCGTTTTGTCACTCTTATCACAACAAACAGCATCGCGCTTTCACAGATTACACGATTAATGAAACGAAACTTAGAGAGTAGGAGAAATAGGTACGGCACGATTTGTTTTGTTTTGGTACCATTCAACTGTCGGTACAGTCATCGATTCTAAAAGCAACTCCTACTTATAATAGAGTTGGCAACTAAAGAAACGATTATAATGATTCGTTTTTAAGTTTTCGATTAATCGTAAAAATACATACTTAAAATTAATATATGAATACTTATTGAAGATTTATAAATAGAAAATAAGTAATGTGAAATTTATACTTTTGCCATTTTTTAGAAATTTATTATGTTCAGAACATTATTTCTGAAATGGCATAAAAAATGAAAAAATATTTTGTTTACCGCAACCCAAAAATTTTGGAACTTTGCACACACGACAACGAACACAGGAAATTTTGTTCTGTGGGAAATAGTTAGAAAATATGTGATCGTACAAAGGAAATGATAATCCTATTTCACCTTTTATGATTTTTAATGGTTCTTAGTCCGTGAAAAGAAAGAACAGCGCAAGCAACCTAGTAGTGACAATAATAACTGAGTTACGGTCGAGAAAGATGATCACTTCCATCAATATATCGGTCTTAAAATATATAAACTCTTTCCTGTGATTTTATATTTTACGAACAGGCTCCCTTGACTTTTTGAACGTAACTGCCAAATTTTCACTTAACATTTATTTATTTCATCATTTATGTAGTTGTAGTAGTTTTTCCTTAATTTAAAAAACCTTCCTACACTATTTATATCTCGTTTTGAATATTTATTAACAACATTTTCAGGTAGTCTATCCATAAACTCAACAATAAATCGATTTTTTATCGGATTAATTCATGTAATGATTCAAAGAAAATATTAATCGATTGTTACAAGTTAATTGCCATCTAATGTCTCTACTTCTATGATAGCAGAGTGCGAGTACACCTTTAATTATTAAGCTGAACGCCGCGCCGCTTGTGCATTGGTTGATACCTGTGGGTTGATACCCAATCAGTTAATATTTTCTATCAAAGGAAACGTAACTTTACTGAGATTAAACGAAGCTCTGAAAAAGCGGGCAATTTAAATAAATTATTATATACTTCTAAAATCTGCACACTATTTAATACAGTTTGAAAAGTATCTCTAAAATTATAGAAAATTATATATTTTACTAATTAATCAATGAGATTATATTAGGTACCCTAAATTATGCCAGCAAATTATATTTGTATGCATATACATTCGCAATGTACAAAATGCACAAAATTATCCGTACGATTACGACAATCCCCACGTTGTTCAAGAATTTAAGCATCAGCATAGGTTTAGCATAAACGTCTGGATCTTATCTTCTTCATGTACCATGCCCTTTCAGAACGTTGGTTACCATCATAGTTATCTTAATTTTATTCAGTGCCACCCTAAATAGCATGCTTGTATCAACACTATACCAATCTCGCAAGTTCTTCAAGCATGAGGTTCTTCTTCGTCCTGGACTGCGTTTGCATGATATTTTGTAGCAACCTGTATTTGGAACCTCTCATTACATGTCCGAAATACTCTAGCTTTGTCTGCTTGATGCTTTTTAAAGAAAACTTATAAAATTCTTCTATAGCACCACATTTCGAAAGTCTCAAGGCGATTTAGATCAATTTTATTCACAGTCCAGGACTCGTCATTATAAAGTAAGACCGAGAACACGTAGCAGCGGGGAAGGCGGATCCTCAATGCCAATTTTAGGTCTCTGTTACATAACTTGGATATCTTTATAAAAGCAGCTCTAGCCTGCTCTATCCTAGATCTAACTTCGCCGCTTGACTTTCTGCGTTTCGATTTAATTGCTGTCCAAGGTAAACGATTTTATTAACTTGCTCAAGTTTGGTATTATTTACATATATAGACGGTTTTATAATAATATGCTGTTGTTTACTTATTACGAGTATTTTGGTTTTCCGTATGTTCAGATCCAGAGCTGCCTCCCTACAACTCTCAACGACACCATCAAGTAGTGTTTGCAGATCTTCTTGACTAGAAGCTAGGAGTACTGTATTGTCCGCATATCGCAAATTATTGATGACTTCACCGTTCACTTCTTGTATTCCTACAAGTATATCACAAGTATTCCTTCTTGTTTTTCAGAAAGTGCTTTTCTAAAAATTCTTTCGGAGTAAACGTTGAAAAGCAGGGGTGACAAGAGGCATCCCTGCCGTACTCCTCTTTTAATACTGAGAGCCTGTGATTCCACACCATCATTCTGAAAACATCTCTGCCGTCCAAGCCAATTTTTTTTAGAGCTTCGATCAATATAGAGTGCTTAACATGATCAAATGCCTTTTGGAAGTCAATAAAACAACAGGTATATTTCTACAGATATAGTACGTTAGTTTTAAAGATGCACTCATTTAACAACTAAACGTACACACCAACTTGTCGATACCGAACCATTATTTTCAAAAAAATTACACCATACGACATACTTACTCAGAAAATTTTACACAAATATTTTTTTAACACAACTGCTGGAACAAATCAGTCCAGGATTATGAATTTTTTATTGTAGGTATATCTAATAAACTAGAGCATTAGACCCAACAATTAGGATAAGTCTTCTCTAATTAACAAATTTTTCTTAACCAACCATAAGTATATTCTCCTCCTACCCATTGCTAACATATTATACTCATTATATTTCAGTTGGAATATTCATCTCATGACATCGTATCCCTCATTATCTGATAGAATAGTCTATTATAACCACAGAGCGATTATGTATGTATGGTTATTATACGCAGCACCTAGAATTATCTCTTGGGGGGTTTGGGCGTTTTTAATTTGCACCGCACTAAATATTTCAACTCCCCATTATCCATTCCTACAAACTTCTTACAACACATTTTCGGATAGTGTCTTTTTTTTAGTCCCCCTTGTTGTCCACACCCTTATAATTTTACCTACGATTTAAGACAACACTTGAATGTAAACCACCACATACATCAACGTAACTTTCTACACAAAACACAAACAAAAACTAAATTAACAAAAAACAAAAAAACATAACTTTACTCCCAATTAACTCAATATAATTATTAAACATCAATCTCCCACTGCCGCTAAAATCCCAATTATAAACATTTAAAAACTATTCTTAACATTATAACAATAAAACCATATCAATCCAATATAATTCACTCTTAATCAATATAACACTAAAAAACTACTACAAAAAAAAAACATATAATACCCTATAAACCTTATAAAAACTAATACTCTAATAAACCAACCCATCCAACATACACATACCAAAACTCCTAAAATAAATAATTCCTTCTTACCCAAATATACAAAAATAAAATCCCCCATCAAATACCCAAACCACCCTAATAAAAAACATAATAAATCCCCACAAACCCCAACCAAAAATAACCTAATAAAATCATCAACAACCCAAACATAAATACCAATTTCCCTACACCCACAAAATTCTCTCCCACATAAATCCCCCCAAAAAACCAAAACCAATTTACCCTCACCACATTTCAATATCACCTCCCCCCACATACCTCACCATTCACCTAAACCCATCAAAATCATCCTAAACCCACCCACCTCAAAAAACAACTCCATCCTACCTCAAATTAACCACCACCAAAATACCCAATCAACATCCAATTCCAACCTTTATAACTCTACAACCCACTCATTACCAAACCCCTATCTACAACTCACACCATCCCACTTTAAACTCCTCCATTCCCCTACTCAAATACCCCTAACCTATAATAAACCCCTTCCCACCACCCCCCCCATAAACCCCCTTAACCAAATCTCCAACTCCCTAACCCCACCCAACTAATTCAACTTCTACATAACCTTCAACAAAAAACCATCCTAATCAAACAACCAAAACATCCACCATAAAACCAATCACTAAATCAAATCTCAAACCACACAATTTCCCCCAACTTAAAAACCAATTTCTACAATTCCAAACATTCACACCTTCAAACAACCCACACCCCATAATCCATTCAATTCCCTCTTATACCCCTCATCAATCCTCCTTATCATTTCAAAACAAACCACCAATATCATTCAACACAAAACAACTTACTCACCCCCCCCACTTCCCCCAATTCCACCTTCAACCCCTCATCCAATTCCTCCAAACTCCACACTTCCCCACCTAAAAATCTCATTCATACACCACAAACCCCCCTCAACAACCCAACCAACCCTATACACCACCCCATCCCCCTTTACACCCCAATATCACTCCTAAATTTATCAAAACAACACACAAAACATCCCTTCAAATCCACCCAAAAAATCCAAACTCCCCCCAAATTCAAAAATCCCTTCCAACTTAAAACCTACCCTGTCCAAACATCAACTCTCACAATTTATTTACAACCCCTCTCACAAAATACACAACTAAATCACATAAAAATATACTAAAAACCATACCAACCTAATAAAAACCCCTTACCACAGTGTAGATATATATATAGATGCGGGATGGACGGAGAGTGAGGTTGTCGGAGACTTCAGGGGGGGCTATGAAAGTGTTGTAGTGCGTCTCGCCTCCTATCTAATTGAATCTATTTTTCAGAGTAAATGAGCGCGAACTGGTGTGTGTGTGTGTCGCGTATAGATATGAGGTATTCGCGGAAGTTGTTGGCGAGGTGTGAAGGGTTGGTGGGGGCGAGCGAGTTCTTTGTTGGCGGAGAGATATTGGGGAAACCCCAACTCCCATCTCACAAAATAGACCAACTGGAGGAGAGGGGGTAGAGGTTGGTGGGGGGGGTCTTGTAGTGAGATGTTCGGGTGGTTTGATTAGGGGGTCGGGGGGGGAGGGAGGGGGTGTGGAGGTCGTGTGGGGGAGGGAGTTGTTGGGGGGGTGTGTTTATGTGAGTGTGGGGGTAGGAGGAGAGTGGGCGGGGGGGTTGAAGTGGGGTGGGGGGTGAGGCAGTGTGGGGTGGAGGAGAGTTAGTGGGGATGTGGGTGGTGTTGGGGGGTGGGTGGGGAGAGTGGGTGGAAATCGGAATGTGGGTGGTGGGGGGGGTGATAGTGGG